GAGACACCCGGGAGCCGGGGGCCGCCTGGGACCCGGAGCCCCTTGTCCTTGGAAAGCAGCCCCGCCAGGCGGGGGCGGAGGTCCGGATTTGGGGGCGGCGGAGCCGAGATCCGGGCGCGGATGCGAGGACGAGGAGGAGGACGAGGAGGAAAAGATACTCACATCCACTCCTGGCCGAAGCCCGCGGCTTCGGGCTGTCCCCTAGACGAGGCTGAGCTCCCCTAGGCGAGGAAGGCGGGGAGGGGAAGGGGCGGAGCCGTGTGGTCTGGGGGCGGGGGCGGGGGAGGGGGAAGGCGCGGTGGGGGCCCCCAGCTCCGAGTGATTCACGCCCCCGGGATCCGCGCCCGGAGGGGCGGGAGAAAGGAGAGGGGAAAGGGGTGGAGTCAGGGCAGGGAGCTAGGCGGGAGGAGGCGGGGCAGGAGGAGGAAGGAAGCCTCGCGAGAGCGAGACACCCTGGTTCTCGCGGTATCTGCTCACACACAAGAGCGCGACTCTTCCGCATCGTCCTGTAGTTGTCTGTGTTGAGTGCTGTAATCTTTTCTGCGCTACTTTCGTGTTTTGTTACTGCTCCGATGATCGGAGGTCCCTGTTCCTCCGAGCCGCAGGGTTTGGGAATGGGTGTCTGCTGACTCAGCAGCTGCTGTTCCTCGCAGGCCCTCCCTCCAGGATCGTAGAATGGCGCCCCAGGCAAAGGAGGGAAGGGACACCTGGCTGTGAAAGCTGCCCCCCCAGGGCCCGTGCTGGTTGCTACCGTAGCGCTGGCGAGCTGTTTGTGCCTTCCCACTTCAGGACCAAAACATGGCCTCTCTTCCCACTTAGGGTACAACCGTGAATGACAAATTTTACCAGTACAAGAGAAACATAAAGTAATAGGAAGCATTTTGTTTTTCAGTTGTGTCCAACTCTTTGTGGCAGCATTTGGGGTTTTCTGGGCAAAGATACTGGAGTGAGGCAAACAGTGAAGTGATTCGACCAGGGATACACAGCTAGTTAATGTTAGAGGCCACATTTGAACTCAGGAAGATGATTTTTCCTGTCTCCAAGCCCAGTATTCATTCTATCGACTGAGCCACCTAGCTTCCCCAAAGGGAAGCATGGCTGACTGTTAAGTGCTTAACACAGTGCCTGGCACGTAGGAGGCGCTATGTAAGTTAGCTAGTAGTACCGCATAGGGATTCGGCATCGGAACCAGAGAGACCTGGATTCAAGTCGCCCATTTGATAAATATGGTCATTTCTTAGAGCCCTGGGCAATGCTCTAAGACAACAAACACAAGTTTCAGGACCTGCATTAGTAAAGGGAGTTTCCTCATACTAGCAGTTCCTAATACAGATGAAATTGCATGTCCAATTCTTATCTGTATTCTAAAAAAGCATAGGTGAATGTCAAGTGCAGTATTTCTCTGCAGAAATCTACTTGGAATGGAAAGAGCACTGAACTTGAAGTCAGAATTATGCAAAGCAAATTAATAGTTGGGTGACCTTAGACAAGCTGCCTTATTTCTTGAAGCCTCGATTCTGATATGTGTAAAATGAGAATAATAGTACTTAAATTATGTAACTGAAAGAGTGAGAACCTAAGTATATGTAAACTCCTTTATGCCTATCATGGGCTTTTAAAACATAAGCTTTTACATAATGTTCACTGACCTAGCAAAGAGTCACAGATTGGAAACAGCAAAGGGCTGTTTCTAACCCTGTCATTTTATATATGAGGAAACATGATTCAGGAAGGATAAGTGGTTTGTCCAGTCAATGCCCTGCTACAGAGTTAGCGTTTGAACTGGTTGGTGCTTTTTTCCCACTAAACTCTGAACAACCTGCCTCCAAGAACTTCAGTATCTTTTGGATGAAATATGACAACAATACGTATATTTATATCATATGTTAGGAGTAAAAGAACTTTATATACATTGTATCATTTGAGTCTCAAAAACAATTCAGAGACAGGTTAGTAGTTATACCCCTTTAACATTTGAGTGAAGGGAGGCAGCAAGGTAGCGCTAGTGCATAGAGCACGGGCCTCATAGTCAGGAGGACCTGAGTTCAAATGTGACCTCAGACACATAACAGTCACTAGTTGTGTGACTCTGAGCAAGTCTCTTAACCCCAATTGCCTCACAAAAAAAGAAAAACACATTTAAGGGAGATCCCCATAGGTCAAGCGATTTGCTCAAAAAGGTACAAAACTATTAAACTGCTTCAGAGAGATTATAACCCATAGACTAGTTCCAATCCAGTGATATCTGCTACATTGAGAGTATACCGCAGAAAGGATAGTGGCCTGGGACTGACAGATAAATGCGATTCTTAGACAGATTTTCACTTCCCTTGCGGTGAAAAAAATTAACACTAGGTTGGGAGAACAAAGTCTTAAAAGAATAAAGCAGTAGGGGCTTGCATTTCCATTTTAAAAAATCTAATGTGAGCAAAATCATTTTTCTTTCAAAACGTGTGTAGCAAAGGTCTCTGGATACATGAAAATATTAATAAAATCGATTATTCAAAATTTACTCCTTGGAACTAACAACCACAATCAATGGCGTTTCTCATCAACATATAGTATTATTTCTGTTTAGATTTTTAATAATAATAGTAATAGTAACAACTCTTGTGGAAAAATGCTGGATCTAAAGTCAGAGGAACTAAGTTCAAAACCCTGCCCTACCATTCACCATCTGAACTGGGTAGGTCAATTAACATCTCTGTGCTTTTAATGCCTGCTTTAAAAAAAAAAAAATGAGCTTCTCCAGTTCTAGATCGATGCTCTTACAGCACGTAACATCCTGATTTGAGAATTGCCCGTTTAGTGTCTTTACAATGCTAAATAATAGGATTTAAACATCTTTACAAAGCACCTACACATCTCGGTTACTAATTTTTAAACTCTTAAAATTAGTTTATTTTTTCAAATGATGTGATTTGGCTTTAAGGAGAGGCCTAGCAAATAGAAAGCCAATCCCCTTTTAAAATTCCCGCCTTAGGTTCCCAAGGATTGGGTCACAAACTTTGACTGGAAAGGGTACTTCAGGTCTTTTGTTCCTTATTGGCTAAAGCTGCATCAATCACTTCCCTGATCCTGAGCTTTGTGAAATAACGAGTTGCTTTTCCGGGATATGGTTGCCCGATTTTAGTTTTAAGCTGTTTGAATTTAGTCACTTCCGTGGACATTAATCTATATAAAGAAGTATAAAATTATAAAGCAGCAATTAAAGTTGCCTGGAAAGCTGCAAATAGACGGCTGTGCAGTTTGCCTCACAGTGAAGTGGAGCAGCTTCTCCGAATCCACTGTAAGTTGATAATGGGATTTATAGCAAAGTTGCCTGTTTCTTGAAGTTGTCCAGGATTTCTCTCCAATTTTAAAGAACTGTTACCGCTGTCAGACGTAAACCAAAGTAAATGAATTGTTAAAGGACAGGAGTCAAAGGAAATCAAGAAACAAGTTTTTTTCTGAGGGTACAAATTTCTCTTTACATTCAAGTGTTGGGGGGTGGGGTGGGGAATATTGTATCTAAAAGCAACTTTTAAAATATTATAAAAAAGAATAATGATTATCTTTGACCACCTTAAGGTACTGTTTTTGTTTGTTTTGGCTTGCTAATATTCATAAGATCACATGTAAATATATACTTTTAAATGAAAGGGATATTTCTTTCCATTAAATATATTCCAAATAACAAATAGGAAATACATTTATAACATGTTTTGCTACAAACTTATAAAACGAAATGAATATCAGAATAAGACTTGGGTCTTGAAATTGTGTGCCCCTTTTTATCCTTAATTCAGTGTTTTTCCCCCTAATTTTTGTTTTTCTCCTGTGACTTTGCCTTCTATAAATAAAAGGACAAATCTGCCAAATAACCGCGAAAGAAACCAAAATGAGAGGACAGAAGCAGATTTATAGCTAGAAAGTTATAACTTTTCAGTATAAAAATTATAATTCTTAAAAGATAAGGCTATTTCTTGAACCAATTTGTAGCTCCTAGGGTATGCTATTTTAAGAACATTTCACATACATTCATTCTAGACATTTTTGCTGGGTATCTACTGCCTTCAAAGTACTGTAGTAGGTCCTACAAAATGAACTTTAGGCACAAGCCCTCATTTCAAGAGCTTATGGTCCAATTGAGATAAACACAAAACATTTAAATAATAGTACAATAGAGTATTTAAATACTACATAGGTCAGGGAAAGAAAAGATTAGCACAGTCTGAAATGCTTAGAAAAAGTATTAATTGGTTTAGGAAATAAACTGAGCCTTGAAGGATGGGTAGGATTTAGAGAGATGGAGAAGAAGGTGGAGGGCATTTCGGATTAGGCGATGAGAAGGGAAGTAGTGGCAGGATAGGGGTGGATGGAGGAGAAAGAATGTGAACAAAAATCTGATTTAGTAATATTGAAGATCTGACTGGCTGGAGTGGAGAATTCTTCATGTTGTGCATTGCTGAGCAAGATTCAGGCTGTGAAGAGTCTTGAGTGGCAGGCTGAATGATGAGTTGGGACTTTATGCTGTAAGGCAATGAAAAGCTGTTGAAGGTAGGTTTTTTGTTTTTGGTGGGGTTTTGTTTTGTTTTTGGTCATTTTTTAAAAAAGGAATCATACAATGATAGCAGGTTTCAACATTTAACTGGCCGAAGTATACAGGATGAGTTGGAGAGGAAAGTCTAGAAACAAGGAGAGACCAGTTAGAAGTTATTGCAACTGTAGAAAATGGCAGATTAATAATTGATCTTATAAACCTCTATGTGTTTTAATGTTTAAAAGAGCAAACGCTTTTAATAGACTCTTGGTTGAATAAAATAAATCCTGATGCATCATTTTTTTTTTCATTTCAAAAGCATCTTTAGTGTTTTGCCATTGAAATGAAACAAGATTTATTTTCATTTTTTAATAGTAACACCTTTACCAAGGTGGAGAGACAGGTAAAAATGCAATTATTCAGTAATAATTATTGTCCTTTTATATTTAACATAAAATTCATTCTTCCTTTCCCTTAGAATTACAATATAAGATTTTTTTGGTGCAGTATAATGATATTGCTGATATCTCAGTAAAGAAGAAGCTGTCACACTTCGAGAAGATTGATTCCATGACCAGGTATTCATGTTCAAACTGTAGACTAATACTCAGCCAGAGCCAGCAAAAGGAAAAATTATGAAATAATAGATACTTGTCTTCAGATCTTGGACCTCCAGATTCATTTGGCTTTTTACTCACTTTGTTCCCTATGTCTCCCTTCCCTCTGCCCCTGTAGGCACCATCATCCCCATGTCAAAACCTGCTCTGGAGAAAGGATCTTAGAACCATTCAAATTAAACTGATAACATCCTTAAAATTACTCATTACAAAGGGTAGTCTGAAAAACGACCTTTAAGCCCTTAAAGTAAGTAAATGAAGCTCCAACTGTGAAATTTCTAGTCACTCAGGTTTGTAAACTGAGTCATATTCGTTCTTCCCTTTTTTCATCTCCCAAATCCAGTCACTTGTCAAGTATTTTTGAGTTTACCTCCACAACATCTTTTGTATTTGATAGACATCACCTTAATTTAGGTACTCATTCCTTTTACCTATAGTATTGTAATATATTGTAATACCTTCCTAATTGGTGTCCCTGCCTCCAATCTGTACCCCCTTCAGTGCATACTTCTGCCAAATTAATGTTCCCAAAGCATAGGTCTGGCCATATCGTTCCTCTGCTGAAGAAGTGATTTCTTGTTGGCCCTAGAATAAAATACAAAAATCTTATATTTGGCCTTCCATGGTCTGGCTCTAACCTCCCTTTCCAGACTGATTCACCTTGCTCTATTCCAGGGACTCTGTGTTCTAGTCAAAGTGACATCCTTGCTTTTCTCCACCCATGACCTTCCATCTCTTGCCTCCATGCCTTTGCTCTCTGTCTTTACCCCGTCACCTCCACCTTTTGGAAACTCTAGCTTTCTTCAAGTCTTAGTTTCAGTGTCACCTCCTGCATGAGGCCCTTCTTGGTCCCCCAGTTGTTGGTACTCTTCTTCCAATTACTTTGTATTTATTTTGTCTAAATTTGGATTTATTTCTCTGTGTATTTGCCCTCCTCTTCGCTTCACCAGCAGAATATAAGCTCCTTGAGAGCAAAGATCATCTCCAGTGCCTAGAAAAGGCTAACACAGTCCCTTTCACATTCTTAGCACTTCATAAATGCTTGTTGGGTTGAATTGAATCAAAGGCCCCAGTGGCCTCTTGATTTCATCTTTCCCACCTTGACAGAGGGTCTTTTCCTGATCTCCCCTTGCCTGCTGGTCACTTCCATGAGTTCTTGATCTGGCAACCACGGGAGGGCAGTTGTATTTTGATATTCTTTTTATTATTGGATTGTGTGTTTTTAATGTTTAATTATTAAGTAGTTTTTTTCTTGGGTTTGTAGTTTATAAACTGCTATTGCACTTAAGCCAAACATGGCCTTAGTTCCCGAAAAGCCTCAAAGAAGTTAAGTGACTTGACTAAGGTCAAAGCTAAAATTCAAATCTTTTTCTAAACATAGACCTGAGTTTCCTACCACTCAGGCCATATTTGCCCATTGGGAGAGTTTTTGTCAGTAGACTCCCTGAAATTCAGATAGAGCATTCTCAGATATTCCCTGGGGAGTTAGAAAGACCTGTTGGACTCTTCATTTTCCTAATCCCACACATCCAAGTCCTACACATTCCTTCTTCATGTGATCTTTTGCAGTTCAATTTGATTCAACAGACATTTATTAAGAGCCTATTTTGTGCAAGGTGCTGTGTTTGGCCTTGGAGTCAGAAAATATGGGAGGCAGCAAAGTAGAGGAGGTACAGCCCTGCCTCTGAGAAAAGAAGGCTTGGAGTCACATGCTGCCCTTAAATGCTTTCTGCTTGCCTGTCCTTGGGACTCCATTTCCTTATGTGTGAAATGTGGAGCTAGGGATTAAATAGATGCTCTCTGGGGTCTCTTCCAACCCTAGAAATACCAAAGAAATCTCAGCCCTACCCTAGCTAGCAGTTTCATGTGCTTGAGATGGCATTTAGCCTCTGTTGGCCTCAGTTTCCTCATATGTGTAATGGGGATAATAATGCTTTCTCTACTTCACAGGACTGTTGTGGAGAGAGCACTTTGTAAAGCACTCTAAATATGAGATATTATTATTATTATTATTATCTTCACCACCACCCCTTAATTTTAGTACTAAGTATCTCACACTTGTACTATGGCAGTAGTTCCCCTAATTGTTCTTATTGCTTCCAGTCTCTTCTCCCTGTATTATATTTGAATAATAACCTTATCAATTTTCCTACAACATCACTTAGTGATCCTATCAGTCTTTACCTTAAAAGTCTTCAATGGTATCTTTCTGATCATCAGTCAAAATTCAAAGTCCTTAGTTTGGCATTTAAAGCTCTTTACAATCTACTGTCAGTTTACTAACCTTATATTCCACCTTTCCCCTAAACATACCATTTGCTCAAGCCAAACAGGGATATTCATGATTTACTTAATGTGGTTTCTGAATTTTCTATACCTGGAGTGCCTGTGTGTGGTACAATTGAAAGCCAGAGAACCTGGGTTTAAATTTCTACTTTGCTACATAGGTAGCATAGGTAGACAGCTCATTTAACTTCTCTGGGCTTCAGTTTCTTCATCTGTAAGATTAGGAGGTTGGACTAGACGACCTGTAAAGTCCCTTTCACTTTAAATCACTTCTAGCACTTCTCACTGTTCACCCCTGTGTTAGCAGCCTTGCCACTTTGGAGATGCTGCCACTCTGAGCCCCTCCGAGTTGGTGAGTCTTTAGCTCAGACCACTATTTCATAAGGGGACCAGGCCATACTTACTTCACACCCAGCTCCACTTATTCTTCAGACTTCTCTCCTTAACTGTGCATTCCCCCACCATCCCCACCCAGCTTTCCAGCTCTGCTTTATGTGTTATTTTCCCCCCTTAAAATGTAACTTTCATGAGGATAAACACATGCATTTGTATCCCCAGTGCATAACACAATGCCTGATACATCAGAAGCTGTTAATAAATACTCTATCTGTTTTTCTAAAACTGTCTCCACTCCCATCTTCGTATGAAATCAGTTCATCCTTCAAAACCCCGTAAAATGCTACCTAGTGCATGAAATATGCCAATCTCACCCTCCTCTGAACTTCTTCCTATAGCTCTTTATTTGTCCCAGTCTTATGGCACTTGTCACATACTGCTTTGTATTATAGTACATTGAGACTATATTCTAGAGGATCTTAAATACAAGACTAGGTAGTGTGGATGTTATCTGGGGGGCAACAATTACTATTTGAAAGTTTCTAACTTTGAGGTGACAGGATTCCAGAAGTGCTTAGTGTAAGGAGAAATTCCCTAATAATTATAACTATCCAAAAATAAAGTGTTTCTTTTGGGAAAGAGTACATTGCTTCTCTCTAGAAGTTTTCAAGGAAAGGTTGAATGACCATTTATGGAATATATTATACTGATCTTAAGATCATAGATTTAAGACTGGAGGGGGGCAACTAGGTGGCACAGTGGATAGAGTCAGGACGACCTGAGTTCAGATCTGGCCTCAGACCAAACACTTGACCCTTACTAGCTGTGTGATGCTGGGCAAGTCACTTAACCCCAATTGCTAGAAGGAAAGAAAAAGAAAGAAGGAAAGAGAGAGAATGAGAGAGAGAGAGAGAGAGAGAGAGAGAGAGAGAGAGAGAGAGAGAGAGAAAAGAAAAGGGAGAGATTAAGTGATTTGTCCAAGATTGCACAAGTGGTAAGGGATAGTGTTCTGACTATGAATTGTTTTCAGTCTAATCTACCATACTGCCTTTGAAGTGAATTATTCCTCAGGTCTGTATTGAACTAGATGACCTCCAAGGTCCCGTCTAATTCTGGAATTCTGTGATTCAGAATTCTCCCTTAGTAGCTTATTAAGCACTTTGATGGTAGGGAGCATGTATTTTATTGATCTTTGTGTTTCCTACACAGTTCCTTGAACATAGTAGGTGATCAACAAATATTTGTTGAATGAATGAAAAGTGTTTATTGACTACATTATTCATTGTTGCTAAGGTAAAAATGAAGTTAATGGTGTTCTGATAGCAATAGAAAAAGCCTATGGATTCTATGACAACCACAGAATTCAAAATTTTCACTAAAAAATTCTAAAAGACAAAACAAGCTTAGAAAATATTTTAATAATTTGAAAAAGTATTTTTGGATAAGCCAGTAAGGTAAGGTTGGAAGTATTGTAACTAAATCAAGACCAGTAGGAAATTGGGTAATCATGATCTGTGTGACTGTTATATATGGATTAAATAGTACCTATTTGCTATAGTACCTATCTTACTGAAATTTGTACATGTGCTACTCTTAATATTAAAAGGTAAATGAATATTTCTAAAAGTAGCTTGATGAGTTGCTATGATTTATGACTTTGAATGTTTTTGTAATGTTCAAAATTAGAAGACAGATAACAGAAAATGCAAGAGGATCAAGAAACTCAAATTTCCAGTCACCTAACTGAAACCAAGGATGCCCTCTGTACAAGATCTAAACAGATTCAAAACGAACTGCCTAGTAATCCTATTGCAACCTCCTAAACAGAAACTTCTGGAGTGTGAACAAAAAGTAAAGTTTCATTTCAGCATTCATGAAGTAAGATAACTTCTTTCATGCACATTTTATCTTTAATGAATTACCTGCTTTCTTATTTCAAGCTGCATCTGCCTGACAGCCATAGTGGGTTACTAATGGAATCTAAGATAATAATAATATCTAAGATTTATAGAAGTACTTTGAGGTATGCAAAGCACTTTATATAGATTTTATAGTTTGAACCTTACAATAATCTTGTAAAGTTGGTACTGTTGTACCAGTTTTACAAATGAACTAACATATACCCAGAAAGTATGAGTGATTTGTCTGAAGCCTTGCAGCTACAATGTTACGGCTGAGATCTGAACTCAGATTTTCTGCCTCCAAATCAGTATTCTTTTCCTACACCATGTTCGCCTCCATGCCCGTTAAGGTCAACTTCTGACTTTTTAAGAATCTATGATTGTTTTTGTCCAGTTGGTACAAAAGAACTAAACTAAAGAAACTAAAGAACTAAAGAAAAATTGGGGTTATATTAGAGGACAAACCAGGGAGCAGAGTTAGGGTGAAGTCTTTGTCTATCTTGGTCAAGGTTCTCATAGTAAAAACCATGACTGGAATGCCCAAGTCCTGATGTATAATGTAGTATTGTCACTGTTCTCATGCTCTTAGAAACTTGTATTAGGGACACTGTAAAGGTAAATTTAAACACTAAGAAATATTTGAACCTTTTTATAACTTCACTTCCCCTAAAATGCTTTATTATACTCACCTACTATCTGCCCTCTTCTTTAGTCTGCCACTACTCTAGAAAGCTTCAGATGTAATCCAGGTTTCTTCCTCTAGGACCACAGGGTAAAGCTTAGGAAAAATTCTACCAACATAGCAAAAATTTGAACTCAACTCTTTAATGTTAGATTGGAAACTTGGGTGTTCCTGGATCAATCACCAAGCTGAGTTCAAGTTCTTATTTTAATATTACCTAATCTTAGGCAATTCATTTAACCTCTTTGGGCTTTAGTTTTCTCATCTGTATATTAGAAGATTGGGCTAGATGACCCATACAGCTCCTTTGAGGTCTAAATTTATGAACCCTCTCTACCCTCTGTAGCTATGACTAAGGGTAAGCAGATAAGGTGCAACATACACAAGGGCATAGTAAGGGACATTTTTAACATTACTTTTATTTATAAAATTCGGGGGGGGGTTGTTTGTTTTTGCGAGGCAATGGGGATTAAGTGACTTGCCCAGGGTTATAGTATCAAGTGTCTGAGGCCAAATTTGAACTCAGGTTCATCTGACTTCAGGGTCGGTACTCTATCCACTTTGCCACTAGCTTCCCCTAAAATTCTATTTTCCATGGCATATAGGTATTTGTCTTAAGTTAAATTGTAGTGTACCAGACTGAAAGCATAATGCCTCTGGTGGGCAGTAAGTGGCAGACTTTGGTTTTAAACGTTGCTTAAGGTGCTCAGTGCATTGTTGCAGTTCTGACAGTGTATATCCTAGCAGTATTCTCTTCAGCCTCTCCCACAACTCTGCCTTAACCTCTGTTTCTTTCACACTTGACTCCTACCTTAGCCTTCTTTCATTGACCGGTCTAAACCCCTTCTCTAATTTCTGTCAAACACTGGCTGCTGCTCTAGGAATGTTGTTCTGATAGACCATAACCCTGAACTGACTGAGAAGTCATTTGAGCCTTGGGAAAGAGCTTAGACTGGATATAGTTAAAAGACTTAGAAACCTTCAGACACTGTGGGGTCTGGAAAATAAAAAGCGTCTCCCTTTTCTTATATTGTAATGTTGATTGTTGATCCTGCTGATCTTGTTTGCATCAAAGGCTCTAAGTCTCTGAATTATTATACTTTAATTGCGCACTATGATTGCCCACTTCTAAATCTTAAAATCTCTTAGATCTTAAAATCTTACAATCTATAGAAAGCTCTATAACTGTCACAAGAGTGTGACATCAAAATCAAGCAAATAATGGAGAAAAATGAGAGTTGAGGGGTAGTTAAACCTTAGAAGTGACTATTTCTTATTAATTATTGTATTTTCACTCTTTTTCACATTTTAAGCCTATTTTCTTTGTGTGTGTGTGTGTGTGTGTGTGTGTGTGTGTGTTTTGTTTTATTTTGTTGGGGGTTTTTTGTGAGGCAATTGAGGCCAAGTGACTTGCCTAGAGTCACACAGCTAGTGAGTGTTATGTGTCTGAGGCTGAATTTGAACTCGGGTCCTTCTGACTCCAGGGCCAGTGCTCTATCCACTGCACCACCTAGCTACTCCAGCCTGTTTTCTTAGAAATCTCTTACAGTGGTCTGTCATAGAAAATGTGAGAGAAAAATTTAAAAAAGAGCTCACCTTTACAAAGGTTATAGAAATAGGGGTATTTGTAACATAATAAGAGAATTCATATCTCAAATACAGTCTCAGTGGTTTTTATTATCCTTATTTTCACTCCACTACAATGTGGCTTATCTTTCTCTGTAGTTTTTCTGTCCCTACAAACTTCAAAAAGAGTTCTTAGTTTGAAACCATATGCAATACAGTAGTGTATATGATATGAATAAGTGAACTCAGAAAGCCAAATGAAACTCTCCTCTATTGGAAAAACCCCTGTGACATGAGGTTTTCTTAACCTGGGGTTCACAGATACCACTTCCTCCTACTACAGTGTCCATGGAAAGATTTCAGGGGTCTATGAACTTGGATGGGACAAAATCAAATCTTTATTTCACCTTAATGAGTTTCCTTAATCCTATGTATTTTAGGCATTTAAAAATATTATTTTGAGAAGCAAACCATAGGCTTCATCAGAGTGACAAAGGGTCCATGAAACAAAAAAAAAGTTAAGACCAAACTAAGCAAGCACAGCCAAACTGAAGAGGCAACCTGACTTTTGTGTCTTTAGAATTTAGATTCTTTACATGGCTAAATATTTATACGTATGTGTGCGCATGTATTTCTTCTCTAATAGTATAAACAAGCTATAAAAGAACTGGTGCGTGGTGTGGCACTAACAAGAATTTGTTATGGAGACCATCATTGGAAACTAGCAGAAGCGCATGTTAATTTGGCTCGAGGATACCTACAGCTGAAAGGTGAGCTCATTACAGATGGATGGTTAACTAGTTCCTGTCCTTTCTACAAAGTTATTGGTTTGAACATAACTAGATGAATGTGGATTTGGGTTATCTCAGATTTAAATGTCTGTTCTCTTGGCACACATCGAGATGACATTCCAAAGGAAATTTGAGAAAGAGTGCAGAGTATAGGGAGAATATAAAGATTGAGAAGTAAAGAAGTAAAAAGTTCAACTCTAGTTATTCTTTCCATAGTCTTTAAAATAAGGTTCTTAGGAGAAAATAAGTTTACTGGGTATGATGTGAGTTTTTAATGTGACTACTATTCCTCTTATAATCATCACAACTTCACTTAACACCTGATAATGTATTTTTTCATATTATTTTCTAGCTTTCATATCCTTGCCTCCTGTAACTAGATTATAAACTCCTTGAGGGCAAAGACTGTATCTTATGATATTTTTTTGTATCCTCCTCTGAACCTAGCATAAATCTAGGCACATAATTCTCATTAAAATACTTTTAGCTTGACAGATAAATATGGGACTTATACAAAATTTACGACAGTTAAAGGTCTATAAGAATCACTATAATAATAATGTTTCTTTAATTTTTTTGGCTTCTTAAAAATACTCTTCTTGTATTCTAGACATGGGTATATAATTAACTTCATGTTTTGACAACCTTCTGGGGATTAGAGGTATAATTCTGTGTAATTAAGAACGTAAAGCTCAGAGAGCATTGAAGCATGACTCTTTAATAGAAATCATGGCTATTTCTCTTGATTTTAATGGGGTTCTTTAATGTCATCTTCATAACATTGTCACTCTAATATTGTAAAATGAGTCAGTAGAAGAAACTTGAAATATATACATTCCAGGCACTTAGTGGTTGTATTTTTGCTGCTAGTCTGTGCCACGTTTACTTATTACCACATGAGAAATATGTCTATCAGATGATTCAGATATTTTAATGCCTCACAAAAATTTTAGTGGTAGAAGATTCCTTTTATAGATGGAGAAACAGAATTTCGGGGAGGGAGAATAAATGATTGGCCAGAATTATATTGGAAACCTTTACCAAGGGAATTAAAATTTACTCACATCTAATTTCTTGTTTGGAATGCTATAGCTTTTAAATGCACCATTTATTTTCTAATAACTTGTAATTCTTCATACCTCTAATTGTGGAGAGAAATCAAAGAAATTCAATTCTAGCTTGTTTTTATTATCTTGTTTTTAAAAAAGATTCTTTTTTAGTAGAATTTTACTTGAAGACTTAGAGAAACACATTTCCCTTTTATAGTCATGAAACTGTTTTCAGATAAACTGTAATGAAGGTTTTGCCTGAACCTGCCCAGCTGTGCTTCATGCTGAGATGCTCAACTCTGCTTCTCAGAATGAATTACCATGTGAACATTAATAATATAGGAAAGAAACATCATTACATTCACAAGTCATTCACAAATATATTCCAGTTCATTGATATGAAAGAAAGACTTAAACCTCTTTTGTGTGTGTGTGTGTGTGTGTGTGTGTGTGTTCACAGGACTCTCATTACAAGCAAAACAACATGCAGAAAAAGCCAGAGAAATTCTCCTCACCAATTCATCTTTGCCTGAAGAAAGCATAGATATTTTCAGATGTTCAATTGACCTTTTTCATACTTTGGGAAGAGCTCTAACTGAACTTCAGAAGTATCCTTTTTCTCCTTCTTCTTTGTAATTGGAGGCCCTGTTCATAGTTTGTATATTTAATTTTCAAGACCAAATAGTCAAGATGATTCATAAAATGGTACATAAAGGACTAGGAGCCAGGATAGACTGGGAACTGGTGATCAAGAATAAATGACTGAATATAAAATTATCCTTAATGCAATTCAGATTAAAGGAAGCCTCACAAAATTTAACAAAAGCTGAGAGACTTTCAAAGGAGCTATTGGACCATGGAAAACTTTTAAAGGAAGAATGGGTAGAAATTCAAGCCAGGATCAAGTTGGCTTTTGCACAGTAAGTTTTGAGTTTTGGTTATTACAGTATAATGGTGAAGATCTGCTAGTAGTATTTATCTTCATAAAGTAGATGCCTTCTTACAAGATTATTCTTGGACTCAGAGTCATTTCCAAGTAGTAGAAGAGGAGAAGAGCAAAACTGTATTGTAAATCTAATCCCAGAGTTTCATTATTAGTAGACTCTGATTAGACCTGCAGTACTCTCCAAGTTTATCCTTATATAAACCCCTCCCTCTACTCTTCCTTCTCTATTTCATCCTCCTATGATTAAATGTTTGGGAATGGATAACACATAGTAGGCATTTAATAAGTACTTGTGGAATTGAATAAACACATATCTCATAGTCAAAGGAATAGAAAATGTGTTCTTGATGTCTCTACAAATAAAGAAAATGTGTATGTATGGTAGCACACCCACTTTATAATCTGATGATCAGGTTTGCATCTCTTGTTTTCTTTCCCCTAATGGTATTATTCTATAAACCAGGGGTTTAAACTATGGCCTGAGGGCCAAATCTAGTCCCTCTGCTTGGTTTTTACATTTTTAAATAAAGGGAGTTTTTTGCATTTAAAAATATTAAAAATATTCTTAGTTCCTGGCATTGCAAAAAGAAGCCAAAGGTTAGATTCGTGGGCCATAGTTTGCTGACCTCTACCTAACTTTGCACCTGCTCCCTGGCTCACAATCATACTCTGTTCTCTCTTGTCATTCCATTTTTACCTGTGTTTATTACCAAGCCACAATTTTCTTCCTGACACAAAGATTCACATGCAGCTGGGACTAGTCTCTTATGCTGCACCTACTTAATCATCAGTATCAAGAGAATATCTTGATGTACCTAAATACTCCTGGGGAACTGACAGCTGAAAGCCTTCCTGCGCTCACATATTCTCAGATGCACACCTGTTCCTCTTTTATGAGCATCATTAGGGTCATATTCTTGCCATAACTTGACCACCACCTTCATCTTCCTCTCCTCTCCATCTATATTTTAAGAAAAAGTCCTGTTAAAACTTTTAAATTTCATGTTAAGTTTTCCAGCATTATGTGATCATGGTGTTCCATGATTCATAGCCATATGATATCACCAAAAGAATAATGATGTTAAAAATATGGACCTTAGAAGAAGGGAACAACTTGGAGTCAATGAAATTTCCCAGATCTGATCCAGTCCATTCATCTCTATACCACTATTACATTCTGAGTTCAACTCATTGTCCATGTAATGTACCCATTCATCTATACATTATACTCTGGGCAATATTCTTTCTTCATTCATTTGTTTTTTCTATGAGAATTATTAAATTGATATCCTTTTAACTATCATTCCTGGAGAGCTTTCCCTTCTCCCCTATTAATTATCTCATCATGGGGACACCTTCCCCCACTTTCTCCTCTTGCACCCTGGTCTCACATGAAGAGTCAGCTCATCTCCTTGCCAAAGCTAACATCACAATGTGCACCTCTATCCCATCACCTTCCATGGCACTGGATATATAAATTAGTTTAGGTTAAATTGTTATTTTTATTATATTGATACTGATTGCCCTAGGGGATTCTTATAGGGTGTAGTCACAGAAAACAGAAGGAGAACAGTGGAGATACGTGGAGCAGCTGAACTGCAGGAAGGGAGTGTGAAGGTGTTGAGGAATTACAGACACAAGGCCACAGAAATGTCCTTGAAATTATCTCTACCCTGGAGCAGGGCTGCTTAGAAACTACTGGGGTATGAGGAAGGAACAAGATTTCTTAGGAGCACTTAGAAATTTCTGGTTGGAGCAGGATAAGGGCCTAGAGTTTCCTAGAGGTTGACACTTGGTATCCCCAGCACCTGGGACATAGTAGGTGCTTAATAAATCTGTTGACTGATTGACTACCCTATCCTTTCCCCAAAGTATAAATACCCAAATTATAGAGAAGAAAAAAGACAGTTTGCATCTAAATACTCACAGGTAATTGATATGTTTATGTTTTTCAACATTCCAAGTTCAGTTTTTTAGGGAATTATATTGATTTTCTTATAATTTCCTAAATCATGATGGGTGCACCTAAATTGTATCATCAGACCATTTTTTTAATCCAAAAGGGAAAGATGTTACTCAAAGATATGTGCCTCAGAAGAAAGACACTTATTAATACCTATGTGAGCTGTCAGATATATTTATACTTGGTGAGGTAGGAAGCCATCTTGTCATTTCCTCATTGCCAATCCAGCGTCACTTTTTACCATCTGTCACTATATCATCATAATGCCCAGTATTTTCAATGCAGTCCTAACTTGGACCTGGAATTACATTTATCATCCAATGTCAAGTTTTGCAATTCTGTGGCACCTGATAGTGACCTCAGTGAGACTCCACATGGAAACTTCTCCTGCTTATTTACCACCAAAAGGAAATGCTTTAGGAATATGTGTTCAATTCCCTTACAGCCTTTTCAGATACTTCAAGACCCTTTTATCATTCCTGGTGATCTCATTCTAGGTCTTTGACCTAAGACTGGAAATCAGTGTCCAGGAACAACATGCAGTCTTCTTTGTTTTTTCTTCCCCTTTTCGTTTCATTTCTTTAAAATTTTTATTTATTTTTTTTTTTTTAGTTTTCAACATTCACTTCCACAAGATTTTGAGTTCCAAATTTTCTCCCCATCTCATCCCTCCCCCCACCCCAAGGTGGCATACATTCTGAATACCCCTTTCCCTAATCTGCCCTCCCCTTTTATTTCCCCCCTTTTGTCATATCCCCTTCCCCTTCTATTTTCCTGTAGGGCAGGATAGATATCTATACCCTATTGCCTGTATATCTTATTTCCCAGCTGCATGTGAAAACTTTTTCCTTTTTTTGTTTTTGGCTAGGCAATGGGGTTAAGTGACTTGCCCAGGGTCACACAGGTAGTAAGTGTTATGTGTCTGAGGCTGGATTTGAATTCAGGTCCTCCTGCACCCAGGGCTGGTGCCCTATCCACTGCGTCACCTAGCTGCCCCCAAAACAATTTTTAACATTTGTTTTTAAAACTTTGGGTTCCAAATTTTCTCCCTTCCTCTGTCCCCACCGAACTCATTGAGAAGGCAAGCAACTTGATACAAGTTATACGTGTGTAGTCATGCAAAACACTTCCATAGTAGTCATGTTCTGGAATACTAACTATATTTCCCTTCATCCTCTCCCGCTCCCCATTTATTCTATTCTCTCTTTTGACCCTGTCCCTCCTCAGAAGTGTTTGCTTCTGATTACTCCCTCCACCAATCTGCCCTCCCCTTTATCATCGCAACACTCTCTTATCCCCTACCCTCCTATTTTCCTGTAGGATAAGATAGATTTCCATATGCAATTGAGTGTGTATGGTATTCCCTCCTTAAGCCAAATCCAATGAGAATAAGGTTCACTCATTCCCTCTCACCTTCCTCCATTTCCCCTCCACTGTAAAAGCCTTTTCTTGTCTGTTTTATGTGAGATAATTTACCCCATTCCACCTGTCCCTTTCTCCTTCTCTCAGTATAATCCTCTCTCAACTCTTAATTTTATTCTCCAGATATCACCCCTTCATCTTCAAAACTCACCCTGTGCCCTTCATCTCTCTATCTATCTATACATGTAATTTTTCCCTCCAACTACCCTAATACTGACAAAGGTCTTGTAAGTTACAAATATCACCTTTCCATGTAAGAATGTAAACAATTCAACCTTAATAAGTCCCTTATGATTTCTTTTTTGTTTACCTCTTCATGCTTCTCTTGAGTCTTATATTTGAAAGTCAAATTTTCTATTCAGCTCTGGTCTTTTCATCAAGAATGTTTGAAAGTCCTCTATTTCACTGAATGTCAACTTTTTCCCCTGAAGGGTTATATTCAGTTTTGCTGGGTAGGTGATTCTTGCTTGTAATCCTAACTCCTTTGCCCTTCAGAATATTATATTCCAAGTCCAGATCCTTAATGTAGAAGCTGCTAAATCTTGTGTTATCCTGATTATGTTTCCACAATACTTGAATTGTTTCTTTCTGGCTGCTTGCAATATTTTCTCCTTGACCTGGGAACTGTGGAATCCTTGGCTACAACATTCCTAGGAGTTTTCCTTGGGTCTTTTCTCTTTTGGGTCTCTTTCAGGAGGTGATGGGTGGATTCTTTCAATTTCCATTGTACTCTCTGAATATCAGGGCAGTTTTCCTTGATAATTTCTTGAAAGGCTCTTTTTATGATCATGGCTTTCAGATAGTACAATGTTTAAAATTATCTCTACTTGGATCCATTTTCCAGGTCAGTTGTTTTTCCATTGAGATATTTCACATTGTCTTCTATTTTTTCCATTCTTTTGGTTTTGTTTTACAATGTCTTGATTTCTCATAAAGTCACTAGCTTCCAATTGCTCCATTCTAATTTTTAAGGAAATATTTTCCTCAGTAACTTCTTGGACTTCCTTTTCCATTTGGCCAATTTTGCTTTTTAGGGCATTCTTCTCCTCATTGGCTTTTTGGACCTCTTTTGCCATTTTGGGTTAGTCTATTTTTTAAGGTGTTATTTTCTTCAGTATTTTTAGGGCCTCCTTTAGCAAGCTGTTGACTTGTTCTTCATGATTTTCTTGCATCACTCTCATTTCTTTTCCCAATTTTTCCTCGACTTCTCTTACTTGCTTCTCAAAATCCTTTTTCAGCTCTTCCATGGCCTGGGACTGATTCATATTTTTCTTGGAGGCTTTGGATGTAGGAGCTTTGACTTTATTGTCTTCTTCTGATTGTATGTTTTGATCTTCTCTGTCACCAAAGAAAGATTCTATGGTCTGACTTTTTTTGTACTGTTTGCTCATGTTCCCAGCCAATTACTTGAGTTTTAAACTATTTGATAAGGTAGAGGTCTGCTGCCAGTGTGGAGAATGTACTGTCTCAAGCTTTGGGGATTTTGTACAGCTGTTTTCAGAGATACTTCTAGAGACCTGTAAGTTTTCAGTTCTACCTTTCCTGGCCTGTGCTGTGATCTGTGAATGACCACAAGCACTCTTTTATGC